TCTCTCATTTACAACAAAAAATGGTAGAAATTGGCTTTGAATTTAGGTAAACTCCCCTGAAGGGTGTCATTCGGGGTGTGGCGGAAATCGGCAAAATCTGCAAGGGTGGTTGTCGAGTACCACCATCATTCAACTCATTTTGGTCCCAGGAACAAACCGCAAACATGTTTTGGGGCGATGGAACACCAGAATGATCAATTTGAAATGGACCCATTTCTAGGGTTCCGGCGGATCGAGGGAGATTTGAGGTGTTTTTTGGCCGAGTTGGACTTTGGCCCAGGTATAAAAGTTGTTCTGCTTGACTTGATCTATATTTCTGTAAAATTTGAGAAATTTTAGAAATAGTAAAATTTTCCAGCGATTTGAGGCGATCGACTGCCACCCACGGCGGCGCCTGGCCAGTGAGTTAAGAATGTGTTTTTATGCAAATTTCATTAATCCAATTATGTTTTGGGTATCTAATTAACATGTTTCAATTATTAATATGAATGTGTGATTTTTGGATTAATTGTACATTTTCAGAAATTGGTTTGGAATTGACATGTGAACTACGGAAGGCTTGATCCTTCTCAAGGATACGTAAGCAGTCTAATAGGGTTAGATGCAGCCTTAAACAATCGAGAATTAATTTTTAGTTGGTAATTTGATTTAAGAGAAGAAAATGGTAATTAATTGTAAATGTAACTGTATGATTTAAAAGAGAAATATGGTTATAGATCATATGTGGAATAAAGAAATTTACATAAAGAATAGTGATTAATGTTAGTGAGTTAAACAAGAATTATGATTTGGGCCTATCATCAGAATTATTTTCCGAAAATAAATATTTCAGGGGCAGGGCGTTACAATGATCCTTGCATTGGATTGGACATAGACTAAATTATTTAACGTTGCTATGTCTAGTTTTTATTTTTATTTTTTTGTATGTATCCCCTCAAAAGTTCTCCAATTTATTTCACAATTAGATGAACTTGTAGTTAATACATCCTTTGTGAATTAGGTACACCATTTCCATAAGTATAACACCATGAAACTAAAAAAATAAAAAAGCACACAACTAATTAAAAAAAAAAATCAAATCAAATCCGCCTAGGACCGCCTAGCCCACCTAGCTCCAGATTGATTTTTTGAAACGATTTACCCTAAATCGGGGCAAGTCTTCACTACTTAGGCCGATTTTTAGAACACTGATCTCACAACCCTATCAAGAATTTCGTATTACCATCAAACACTTTGTGGTCTAGTGGGAAAGGTGCTCGTTGTCCTCGCTCGATGTTTGGGTTTGAGTTGGCTCTAATGCGTTTTTTTTTTGGGACAAAAGCTTTAATGCGTTTAGTGCTTCTAAATCTGGGAAGTGCTTTTACAGTTATGAGAGTATTTATTTTTTCGTTATGTTGATAGAGTGCGCTCCTTAAATCGCTTCAACAGCCGTTTTGTGTTAAGAAAGGTCTCAATGCTCCTTGGTGGGTCTGCAGGGTGCATCCTTGGCTTGCCCATTGTTTTTTTCTTAAAAAATTAAAAAAAGACTAGGTCCATAGATCGGCTCGAAACAATTAAAACTATATTGAATTTGACTAAGGTTCATGAAAAAAGCAAGACATAGCTCGCACATTTGTATGTTCAACTTGTTAGCAACTCGTATTTTTCACGAGATAGCCTTAACTGGCTTAGATTTGGCCGTTTGATATGAAAAATCGTGTATTGCTTCTGGAGAATTATATTTACTTTTTTTTTCTGGTTCGTTCGTATTGCAATCCGACATTGAACTTTGTGCATCATGTTAAGCATATATTCTACTAACTGTCAAAATTAATTTTGGATTGGATGCTCTAATTCTATTACATTGAGTCTCCCTTGTGCCTTTTCATTTTTTTTTTTGAACAAATAATATTATCTACACCAAGGAGGAGGGAGTGGGCTTCGCCTCACAATCTGTTAGCAATAATATGGTTTAAATTTATCTTTGGTGGAAATCAACTTAAATTTGTCTTTGATGGAAATCAAACATAAAACCTTTTACTTATAAATAAAGATTAATACTTTTAAATTGTAGCACTAAGTCGCTTGTGCCTTTTTATTTTTATATTTCCCTGCTAAAGGAATTTTAAGAATTTCCCATAATTTATTTAGTATAGGCACATCAAAAAAGCATATGAGCAGAGCATAAGTTGGAGGTCATATGATATGACCCAACAAGGCAACAGACCAGAGCAATTCACCCGAAGTACCCAAAACCTAGAGTCCAGATCTGCTACGCCTACTTTTTCTCTGCCCAGCCTGTTACTTGTGGCTTTTGTTGACATTTGTCCCTCATTTAACCCACAATCTAACCGTGTTAACTATAATAAAAATTTACAAATTAATTAAAATAAAAGGTAACACTATTTAGGAGTGGGTCCAATTCTAATCGGTTTGGTTTTTTTATCAAAATCGAAAATTAAACTGAAGTTACTGTTTTATTCAGTTCAATTTTTTTTCGGTTTGATTTCCGTTTGGTTTGGTTTTTTCATACATGAAAATTGTTTTTTTTTTTTAATTGTCTTTCATTCTATTTGGATTTTGAAGAACATCAAGTATATATTTAGTTTGGTTCGGTTTGGTTTGGTTTCCAAACCATTGAAATAGAAACTAAACCAAAAGGTTTCGGTTCTCGATATTTTCAATTCGGTTCGATTTTTTTATTATTTTGGTTCGGTGTTTGGGTCGATTTTTTTGTTTTTCGGTTTTTCGAATCCATCATGCTAGAGTGTGGGCTAAATGAGAGACATGTGTGAACAAATGCTTCAAGTAACAGGCTGGGCAGAGAAAAAGTGGGCACAGCAGAGCTGGACTCCAAAAGCCACCCTTTTTCCAATAACAGTATGATTAGAATAATGGGGAACAATCAGGTGACAGTATTATTAAAAGGGAAGAATGAGGAGCAGATTAGTCAAAAAGTGAAGAATTTGGGAGTTGAGGATTAGCTATTGGGATTGGGATGCTACATTTGATGTTAGAACAAGGGTTTGTTGCAGTGGCTCAAGGGCAAGTAGACCAACTCTCATCTTTTGACAGTATTGAACGTCACACGCTGTTTTATGCACGTTTGTTGTGTTTGTTTATCTCTTCCGTGACTTGATAAAACTCATCAGTATATGCTCCTGATAATACAACAGATTTTCTCCCGCTTTACAGTGGACCTCAATTGTACAATTTATAATTCATTGATATGTCATCTGCCATATTAAACTTGTGCCCTGCAGTCCTCATGGACTATCTTAACATAACCATAAAAGTTATGTACTACGCATAAATTGTGCAACAAGCTTTTATTCAGGGCACCAGACAAACAAGAAAGGGTTATGAAAGAGAAAATAATTGAAATCCGAATAAGATTAAAATAATTAAACGGAACAATGGATATAATTAAACAAGAATATGAAAAGGAGTAAAGGAGCGGGTAGTTATAATTTATTAAACGACGCTATGATGCAACTCTTATCAATAACCACTATTCTAAAAATTCCTGCCTAATTGCTAAGCGGCTGGCTATCGCCCCGATTAATGCCTAGGTGTTTGAAAGTTAATAAAAGGTGTCTAGACCTGCCAAGGCACCCGCCTAAACACTCGTCTAGGTCACAACTCACTTAGACAGAAAATAGATAACTTTTATTTTGGATTTTATATTTTTCAATAAATTATAAGAGACTTGTTGCATACTTACATGAACACACATTATATCCTTGTTTCTCATGTTTTCATCATGTTTCAATACTTCATAATATATACGTCATTCTATTTTGTAGTTTATGATGAAATTATATATATTTTAAGTATAAACAAACACTTATTTACACAACATATAATAAATTTACTTAAATCCGCCTAGACGCTTAGGCGCTAGGCTCTAGCCTACCGCCCGACAAGCGCCTAGTGTCTTTTAGAACCTTGCCAATAACACGATACTACTGTCACTTGGTACTACGTTCTAGTAGTAGTCCTCTTCACTTGTAAGTGAAAGGTCTTAGGTTTGATTATCGCCAAAGAAGAATTTGAATCATATTATTGGTAGTCCATTGTGAGACTAAGCCCGCCCCTTCCTCTTAGTGTGGATAATATCGTTTGTTAAAAAAAAAACACGATACTACTACGTGGTTTATATTCTCCAAAGAAAATTGTTTGCTTAATTTGGAGTATTGTCCCCTTTAACAGGAAATGTATCATCTCCGGATCCCTTCCACCAAATTCACTAAGTCAAGGGAGCCGGACCCATGAAATTTGATTCAACGGTTAAAAACAAGGTGCCCATTTAAAAGTTATAATAACTTTAGCCATTTGATCAAATTTCAAAGGTCCAGATCCCTTGACTTGGTGGATTTGGTGGAAGGGATCCGGAGAGGATCCCTTTCCCCTTTGACATTCTCATTTTATACAAGTCATTCCCGTTTTTTTTTTCCATTTTCTTTTCTTTTTTTTTTTTTTTTTTCAAAAAAGGGACCAGCTGACAGTTTCACCATGGCAGTCCACCCTTTCAGGGCTCGGGAGGACTCGCATATGCATTTTAGCCTTCCTTGGCCATCATTGTGTGATTCACCAGTGTCAGGAATCGAACCCAAAACGTGTTGTATGAAATACAGACCTAGTTTTTGTTCCCAACTACTGGACAATCCGTGAAGGTTAAAAGTGCAAAGGCAGTTCAGTTAGATCAAATTTCCATGTGAATACCCAAACAGGATGGTAGAATTTAAGAGCTCGTTCGGATATGCTTTTAAAATAACTGAAAGCACTTTTGGTGAAAATGTTTTTTGGAACCAATCTTTTGTAAAAATGCAAGCAAATCCTGAAAAAAACACTTAACGTACTTCTGGTAAGAAGCATATAATTGGTGCTTCTTGCATAAAGCACTTGCATTTGGTACCCAAAAACATTTTCTCTAAAAACTTCAACCATTTTAAAGTACATCCAAATGAGCCCTAACTCATTTGTAAAATATATTATGGGCTCCATGTCACTTGCTTGTCTTCGCCCTACATGAAACAAGATTCCCTCTCAGCTTTCCTCTCCTACTAAACTCTCCCTCAGGGTTGGCAGAAAGAAAGAAGAACAGAATCAAAACCATCTTTTCTCTTTTTCTCTAAACCCCAAACTTCTCAGTTTCCTTGATCCCTTTTAGATTTGTTGACCAAAACAACAACCTGCGGTTGGCCACCATCTCTCTCTCTCTCTCTCTCCCCTTTCTCTACCTCCATAAACCATTAAACCCAGCATGCTCATCTTCACCCAGCTCAAGAAACAATCATGATCTGGTGGAGGGTTGCTTCCATTTTTCTTCCTCTTCCTCTTCTTCTTCTTCTTCTTCTTCCCTCAGCATTTGCTCTCAACTCAGATGGGATTCTACTGCTTTCCTTCAAGTACTCAATCATCAGCGACCCGCTCTCAGTCCTCGACAACTGGAACTACGAAGACGAAACCCCATGTTCCTGGATTGGCGTCACGTGCACCCAGCTGGGAAACCCAGGTACCCCAGACATGTTCAGAGTCACCAGCTTAGTCCTCCCCAACAGCCACCTGGTGGGTTCAATCTCACCCGAGCTGGGTTCACTCCAACACATCCAGAGACTCGATCTTTCCAAGAATTTCTTCAATGGGTCTCTGCCTGTCACCCTCTTCAATGCCTCAGAGCTTAAGGTCCTCTCCCTCTCCAACAATTTCATCTCTGGCGACCTGCCGGATGAGCTCGTCTCGGGCCTCAAAAGCCTCCAGTTTCTCAACGTCTCCGGCAATGACTTGGCCGGAGACATCCCAGAAAATCTCACCTCTTTGCAAAACCTCACCGTAATTTCTCTGAGGAGTAATTACTTTACCGGAAATCTCCCACCTGGGTTTAATTCCGTTGAGGTTTTAGATCTCTCCTCCAACCTCCTCAACGGGACTCTGCCTCTCGACTTCGGCGGCGAAAACCTGCGCTACTTGAACCTCTCCTACAACAAAATCTCTGGAAAAATTCCTGTTGGTTTCGTGAAAAGGGTTTCGGAGAACTCCAACATTGATCTCTCCTTCAACAATTTGACCGGACCGATTCCCGACTCGCCGGCTCTACTCAGTCAGAAAACAGAGCAGTTTGCAGGAAACAGTGAGCTTTGTGGGAAGCCATTGAAGACCCTCTGCCCCATTCCTTCTACTCTGTCCACACCGCCGAATATGGCAACTAGTACCAGTTCTTCTTCTCCGGCGATTGCTGCCATTCCCAGAACATTTGATAATGGTCCAGAAACGAACACTTCTGGGGGAGCAAATGGGACTCGGAATCAATCGCAGACCGGGCTGAAACCCGGCACGATCGCCGGCATTGTGGTCGGGGACTTGGCCGGAATAGCTGTACTTGGATTGGTCATTCTCTATGTCTACCACGTCAGGAAGAGAAAAAGTCTCAACTCAAGAGTTGTCACAAAACAAGACCCAGATCCAAAAGGTATGCACTAAGTTTTGGAATTGATTGAAAGTGGCACTTTACCGCATTAAGTTTTGGAATTGATTGCAAGTGGCACTTTACCGCATTAGTCAATGTGTTGTACCTTTATATGATAACGTGAGTTTAAATCTTATCGGTGATTAGTCTAATCTTTAATCTAATAAAATTTATTCTTAATCAAAAAAAATGTTTTGGAATTGATATTAGATTACAATTTAATTTAGTACATTTTATTATTTCTCTCAATATTGATATCTTGTCTATTTTCGTCAAGCGTAATTCTCCTTTCATTTATGAAAGTTAAGCCTAGGAAAACAAAAACATGAGTAGAAAAAGCACTGCAAAAATCACGTTCCTTCCCATCACATCAATGTTTACGATATTAGCTAGATCCGATTTAGTGCATATATTTCATTCAAAGTTTTTATATTAGAGAGATGCTATCCACACATTCCATTTTACTTTTTACACATTCTTTGATAATTTCTATCCGTTGATTTTCTTCAATTCATCTGATTCGACGGCTGAAAAAAAAAGTATATGAGAAATAAAATAGAAAATGTGGATATCATACCCTTTATATTATTCTCTTGATATCAATTTTTTGCACATTTTTGTTCACATCGAAATATACGATATTTAGATAGTCACACAAAATATAATTTTTCTCCAAATCAAATATCGTGTGTAGTTCTGTATTTTCATACTCTCGATATTTCTGTGGACACCGATAATTAATACCTTTGACACAATGCAGCAAAATCCGCAGCATGGTCCTGCATAACAATAAAAGGGGAAGAGAAATCAGAGGCAACGAGCTCAGACAGTGACCATGATGACAAAAATGGACCAGTAGGGGGTCTGCACAATCCGAACGGGGAGGCTCAGAAAAGCAGCGTCTTGGTGACGGTAGAAGGTGGCGACCAACCGGAGCTTGAGCTCGAGACACTGCTGAAAGCATCAGCTTATATATTGGGAGCCAGTGGCCCAAGCATTGTGTACAAGGCAGTGCTGGAGGACAAGACTGAGCTTGCTGTGAGGAGGATAGGAGAGTGTAGGGTTTTGAAGATGAGGGATTTCGAGAGCCAAGTGCGGGCCATTGCAAAGGTGAGGCATCCGAATCTGGTTAGGGTTCGTGGGTTTTACTGGGGAGACGATGAGAAGCTTGTTATCTATGACTATGTCTCCAATGGCAGCCTTGCCACCACCAACACCAGTAAGCTCTCTTTCCTCTCCTTTTTGGCGTATGTTAGTTAAATTATGTGTGCTTAATAACTGCATGTGAACCATGGAAAATTGGAAAATCATTTTCCTGCTAGAAAAAGTTGAAACAGTAGAGCCCACAGAATCCGTGTCCACATTGGTACTTGACATTGACAAGCCCTACTCCTCTGCGTCTACTAGTCTGGCATCTTCCCCGAAAATAGTAAAACTAGAGCGGCAATTACTCGCGTGTTACATTCACATTGAAATGTCTTTCGTATTTGTAGTCAATAGTACAATTGTTCTATGTTTTCGGTGCGGAACTTTTGGTTAATTAGTGTGTTCCTTATCCTCATGAATTTCTTGTACTAGTGTGGTAGATCTCTGACATGTTTGAATTGTTTTGTAGGAAGAGCAGGGTCGTCGCCGTGTCATCTACCTCTCGAAACTCGGATGAAGATAGCAAGAGGAGTTGCGAGGGGGCTGGCGTACATCCATGAGAAGAAACATGTGCATAAAAATATCAAACCTAGCAACATTCTTTTAAATTCTGATATGGAACCCATAATTAGCGATTTTGGCCTTGATAAGCTGGTGTTAGGTAACACGATTGGTCAAAAAGCTAGTGGTTCAGCCCGGGGGTACTTTGGAAGCCTAAAATCCACGGCCACTCGCGAAGGTACGCATGATGTGCTCCCAATTGGTGGCAGCCCCGCCGCACTGCCATCCGCGGGAGCGGGGAGCGCATCTTCGCCGTATCAAGCACCGGAGTCCCTAAAGAACTTGAAGCCAAACCCCAAGTGGGATGTGTATTCTTTTGGTATAGTCTTGCTTGAGCTTCTCACGGGAAGGATACCTTCGGAACGAGAATTGGTTGCCCAATGGACACCGGGTTCCCTGACGGAGGAGAAAATTCGAATTTTAATAATGGTTGACGTGGTGATTAGGGCTGAGGTGGAGGGCAGGGAAGATGCCTTGCTGGCTTGTTTGAAATTAGGGTTTAGTTGTGCTAGTTTTAGCCCACAAAAAAGACCAACCATGAAAGAAGCCTTCCAAATCCTAGACAAAAGTAGTTCCACTTCTTCAAACTGATGTATGTTGAGGTCCCACAAAAGTGGCTTTGTTTATGTTAAAGCATGCATTTGCTTTTATTTTATTTTTATTTTGTTGAGTTGAACGTTGCATAAAAGCCATAAGAAATGTTCATATAGTTTAATAATTTATGTTATTTAGTATTACGGTTTAATAGTATTATTCTTCATTTGTAAGTAAAAGATTTTAGATCTAATTCTCGTCAAAAGTAAATTTGAATCACATTATTACTGGACATTGTGAGGCTTGGCCTACTCTCTACTTCTTAATGTAGATAATATCGTTTGTTTAAAAAAAATCACAATTAGGTTAGTCAAGAAGCTACAAGTTCGCATAATTGTAACAGCGTAGCTTGTGTTTATGTGCTGATAAGTGTTAGATTTCCATTGAAATGTTGGTTTGTGTTGTAATCAAAACGGTTGAGTGAGTAGGATTTTAAACTGTTAAATAGGAAAACTGTTAAAATAATTTTTAGTTATTATTGAGGGATAATATTAAGACTTTTTAATCATAATATTATCTCTTAATAATATATTAAATTACCTTGACTTTTTCTTATGCGAGATGAGATAAATGGAACGCAAACTGTATCTCTGCTATGGAAGCGGTACAATTCATCTGGGATATTTGCATGCGAGCGTGTGGATTGGATATGGCGTCTGACCGGAGTGGGTTTATCATGTGATAAGGATATGGCAAATGATTGGATGGGATAATATGCAAAGGACAACGTTAAGAAGAATAAAATTGATTTAGAAATTTAGTATTTCGCATTACCCTTATGCAAATGTATATGGAGATAAAGATGAGATTACATAGTCAAAATAAAATTTTATTTTAATTTTTTTATTTAAAATTAAACACAAATAGTATTTAACTAAAACTGATCAGACGATGTATGTTAAACGGATATGATGTGAGGATCCTCACAAAGAGGACCATCCTCATCATGTTTTCTTAAACTAACCAAGTTGTTTTCAGTGGATTTGGATTCCATCCGGATCTAAATTGTGGAGAATCTAGAGATTCTCACATCTTAACCATTCATCATACATCATGCGGCTAGAAATCATTTTGATTTTTAAATATAAAATTAAACACAAATAGTACCTAGAAAAAACTAATTGCACGATATACAATAAATGGCTAGGATGTGAAGATCCTTAGAATCTTCACAAAGAGGATCCGAAGAAGATCCTCATCCGTTTGAGTCTCTATTGTCACTACACATTCTGTTTAATTACAAATTCCAAATAATAATTATTTCCTAGTCATTCGCAAGTTCCTCGAAAGGAGGGGGTAGTGATGCTCTATCGGTCACGTGTGGTCTGGCTCCCTCTTTGGCCGTATGAGATTTGTCGGTCCTGGTACACCACCGTGGTCCTTGAAAAGGGGGTTTTCTCGGTGCTCTCTGCTCGGTGCTCATGAGTAGTTTGGATCGGCTGTGAGGGTAGGCGTTTGGTGCTTATCAATGTGTGGGCCTGCCGTTTTGCTGTGAAGTTTTGGATCGGCTGGGGCTAGGGGATCGCCTTGGGTTTCTCGCTGGGAAAAAGGGATCTGGGAGCAGATCTAGTGCTACTGTGATAGGGGAATTTGTGGGAGGTTGCAAGGGGGCGAGTGGACTCTCGATTGAAGCGGGTTTTCTGTTCTGCCATGGCGATGGATAACTAAAGGAAAGAATGGAGGATTTGGGTTCACGATTTGGTTCTAACCTAAGACTGTCCGAGAAAGAGCGCGGGGGTATCAGCATCGAGAGGAAGGATGTCGAAGGCGCTTTATTGGGGTTCCAGTACACCATGATTGCAGAAGTGCTCACTTCTAAGGATGTGAATGGAGAAGTGTTCATCGACTGCTTTATGTTGCTCTGGCAGGGACAATAAGGGGTCTCTATCAAGGACATTGTAGAGCGTAGGTTCCTGGCACGTTTTGCAGGATGATGCGATCTGCAAAGGGTGGTAGATGCGGACCAGCCTTGGACCTTCAAAAATGATTTTGTGCTGGTGGCGGATCGAATAGAAAATGGGCTGAACAGATGGCACCATTCTCCTTGGGTTTTTTTGGGTCCAACTGCACAACGTTCTGGTGCTCAACATGACTTAGGCGGTTGCCAAATCCATCGGAGGTTTGATGGGCACTGTTTGAATGGTGGACAAGTCGGTAAGCCGTGACTGTATTGGCAAATTTCTCTGAGTGAAAATCAGATTCAATGTCCGAGAACCCCTCATGGGAAGGACGTTTGTGAACTTCCCTGATGATGGCAAGGTCTGGGTTGACTTTAAGTATGAATCGTTATCGAAATACTGCCTAATTTGTGGGCTGTTAAGACATCCAACAAGAGTTTGCAAAGATCTCCAAGTCAATGGAAAGGGAGATAATGAGAGCTCCAGGGATATGGAAGACACAATTGCGTATTGAGGATTTGATGCAGTGACGAACCTGCGAGGCAACCCTTTGGGAGCTGGTTCACGGAGCAAGGTATCCCTAGGTCAAATGGGAGGCCAATGAGCTCGGAGTGATGGAAGAATGAGTGGAGTGACAAATTGGACGGGGGAAGACGATCTAGTCGCTCATCAACGGCTTCAGGTATGGGGAGCCACACACAGTATGGGGGTTGCAGATCTGAGAGCAGGAGCGAATGTATAGCTAAGGTGGAAGATGAAGTCATCGACACTACTACCTCGCCGAGTAAGCCTCGTTGGTCTTTGAGCAAAAGTGGGTATAGGGACACTAAGCTTGTTGACAAAATCCGCTGACAACGATTGGAAGTGGAAGATGCTAGAAGGGTTAGAGAAATGGCATTTGACGTAGGGTTAATTGGACCGAGGGGCATGGTTGCTGTTGGAGCTGAGCATGTTGTTCTTTATGAAATTCCTGAGCAGGAAAAAAGGGCGAATATGGCTAATGTGTCTTCAGAAACTGGCCAAAGATTTGATTTAAACCTTGTGCCATTTGTTGTAGATGGTATAGATAGGAGAGTGGAGTGGCAGAGGTAGAGGGAGACAAGGCTATGGATGATGATCCGTTCGAATTGGCACCTATTATCGAGGTTGTGATGAATGAGCACAAAGGGAAAAAACGATCGTATCAAGAGGTGGAATATACTTTGCCAATTCAATGTGTGGAACCTAAAAGCAACCGGCCAAGGAAGAGCTTATTTTTAGAGGCGAAGGAGACCAGCCGTGAGGGGTTTCCCAAGTCCCCATGAAGCTAATCGCAAGGAACTGTCAGGGTATTAGGGGTGACCTGACAGTTGATAATTTGCTAGAGCAGAATCAGTTCCACACCCCTGACATAGTGATCCTGCTAGAAACAAAGAACAAAAGCAGCCGTTATGGGTATCTCAAAAGGAGATTGGGAATAGAGCATATGCACGCAGTGGAACCAAGAGGAATTGGTGGCGGGCTATGCATGTTTTAGAGAGACGACTCACAGGTGATTTTGGTGAAGTCTGAAGACTTTGTGATTGAAGTAAGACTATGGGATGAAAATAAAAAATGTCATTGGCGCTTGTTTGCCATATATGCCATTACTAATGAGAAAAAGCGGAGGGACCAATGGCGGTGCTTGAGCAAGCGGATAGAAAAAGAGAGGGACATAAGTCTCCTCATCGAGAACTTTAATGATATCCTGTGTAATGAAGAAAAAGAAGGTGGCAACTATAGAATGGTGTCTAGTTTGTGTGAATTCAGAGAGTTAGTGGCTCGAAATGAGCTCATGGACCTAGGTTATGAAGGTTATCCCTTTACGCGGCAGAAAAACAGAGAGGTTATGCTAATTCAACGACTCGATCGAGGGTTGGCAACCATGGGGTGGCATGATCTTTACCCTAATACCAAAATCAGGCACATGGTGTTGGAAGGGTTCGACCATGCACTACTCTTTCTGTCCATGGAGAAGGCGATGGCGTGGAGGGGAAGAAAATTCACTTATGATGCGTGCTAGAGTAAAATGGAGGAATGCCATGACTTGGTGGCAGGGGACTGAAGGATAAATTTAAAGGGTCACATGCCTTTCGGTTTTGTGAAAAAATGAAAACTCTCAGGAGAAGCTTAAAGGCGTGGTATAGAAGGAGAGGCAAGAACTCTAAGAAAGTCATTAAGTAGCTGAAATAAGAGATCAGAGCGGCTTATAAATCAAGTGGGTTTGCCACAGAGCTCCGGGTCGCCCACAAGAATGAAGAGTCATACTAGAGAGTGAAGTCGAGGATCCAATGGCTTAAAGAGAGAGATAAGAATACGAATTTCTTCCATGCGCAAACGCTGAAAAGGCATAGATTCAACTAGATTCGAGGATTGGAGGACTCGAATGAGGTGTAGCATAAGAGTGATACTGGGATAAGTTCTATTGTGACTTCCTGTTTTTCTGAGTTATTCTAGACTAGTAGGCTTAGTCAAATTGATGAGATTGGGAGCTGTTTGGAGGCCCGGGTGACATTTGAGGATAACCTAGCATTGATGGCATTGGTGACAAATGGTGAAATTGAGGTGGCAACCTTTCAAATCCCACCTACGCATGCCCCGGGTTCTAATGGGTTCTTTAGTTCTTTTTACTAGGATCAATGGGAAACTGTGGGAAAGGATATGGTGAAGATAGTCAAAGCCTTCTGGCACTCGGGCATGCTCTTGCGGAAACTAAACCATACCAACTTGGTGCTCATTCCAAAGGTGAAATGCCCGAAGAACACGACGCAATACCGGTCTATTGCGCTATGCAATTTAATTTATAAGATCCTTGCCAAGATACTTACAAATAGATTAAAAAAGGTGATGCCGAAGGTGATTAGCGATAATCAATCTGCCTTTGTCGTTGGGAAGCAAATTCAGGACAACATACTAATGGTGCATGAAATTCTACATTCCCTGCTTCACTAAAAAAAAAAAAAAGATTAGGCAGGTATGGCAATAAAGCTGGACATTGCTAAGGCTTACGATCGCGTGGAATGAGAGTTCATTCTAACTATGATGGCAAAAATAGGTTTTGCGCCGCTGTTTTGTAGATGGATTAAGGAATGCATCTCCATTGTTTCCTTCAATATTCTAGTCAACAGAACCCCGACCGGGTACATCTTGCCAAAGAAGGGGCTGAGGTAAGGAGACCCATTATCTCCCTACTTATTCATTCTCTGCACATGATGATTAGGAATGGTTTGGAACGGGGTGTTT